AAGTAACCTTCCCAACACTGGACCTGACACCTTGCAACTCCGACAAAGAGAGTTGACAAAATTAAACTAAAATATAAACCCATATTGGATTTTAAACATTCCTTAAAACAAAATCCCTTTTTTAACTATGATAATAGAATGCAAAATGCAAAAGAATGCAAAATATTTTGCAGATTGATATTATTATAATTTTTTTACTATAGTATAATAGATTTGAATACATTGTAAAATGAAGTTAATGTTAAATTAATAATTTTTATTTCTGGAAAAAGAAAATAGGAGTAACTTCTGTAATTAAAAATGTCATCAAATCAGGAGTCTGTTTTCAGCATTTAAACATCAAAATCATGATACCCTTCAATAATATAATTGAACATATAGGCTACAGTTAGGTTTATGCACTCCCCATGCATGAAGAAAATAAGGTTGCATCCCAGGAGCTCTACAACAATGTTATAGAGTGATGAATGCAGCCAAGGAAAACACGAAGACAAGAAAGTGGAAAATAACACAGGTACGACAAATAAATAAATTATTTCCATTTACATATTAAACTGTTGGTAAGCCGACAAGAAAAGTTATTTAGTAAAATTATTATTTTAGTTATTGCATTTAAGACTGCTATACCATGTGCAGCTCAAAAAAAATAAAATAAAAAAAGTAATGTAATATATCTTTGGCAATATTTTGGATTTTGAAAAGCCTGTTGACTTTTGCCGTTTATCTAAGGTGATTTTGGAAGTTTTTTTTAAACATTCGTTTCTTATTTAATTGTTCCTATTTAGTTGTTTTATTTAGTTGTTTTAGCCTACTTTATTTAAACTTTGTATAATTTATTGATTTTATTTGACATCAAGGTGTAGGCTATGCCGTGCCTCCAAGCTTTCTTATTCGTTTTGCTAATAAACGTTCGTTCTTATTTATTTGGTTATATATTATACATGTTTACTTGTTTCCAGTTTTGTATACCTATTTAAACTTTATGTAAGTTATTTTATATTAGGCATACAGCCTGCCCTATAGAATGGTGTATTTTTATTCATTTTGTTAATAAAAGTTCTATGTTTTATATATAGGCAAAAGTGAGTTTGACGTTGTATTTTGTTGTTGCATTCAAGCAATTGACGCCGAATTGCCGCTAGTGAAAGTAAAATGCGTACAGCACTTTTAAGCTATTTAAAAGCGAAGGAAAGCGAGTAAAAGAGGGAACGCCCCCGCCCCCGCGGTGATACCGGTATTACCGGTGTTGTCACACGTCGATTAACTGATGGGAAAATTTCCTCACCGTCACAACCCTACACTGTAAAAAATGACCGTGAATTTAACGGTAAAAGACTGTAAAAATGCTACAGTAAAAACCTGTTAAATGTTTAACGGTAAATTCCCCTACTATATACGGTGAAAAACTGCATTGGCCATTACATGTATTGGTATATACAGTGGGTACGGAAAGTATTCAGACCCCCTTAAATTTTTCACTCTTTGTTATATTGCAGCCATTTGCTAAAATCATTTAAATTAATTTTTTTTCCTCATTAATGTACACACAGCACCCCATATTGACAGAAAAACACAGAATTGTTGACATTTTTGCAGATTTATTAAAAAAGAAAAACTGAAATATCACATGGTCCTAAGTATTCAGACCCTTTGCTCAGTATTTAGTAGAAGCACCCTTTTGATCTAATACAGCCATGAGTCTTATTGGGAAAGATGCAACAAGTTTTTCACACATCGTTTTTTTACCGTAAATTTTACGGAATTTTTTTTACAGTGTACGGCTGGCTAGGCTGTCTAGGCTGGCTCAGCGGCGCTTCACGTGATGCCGGTGCTGATTCCTTCAAGGAGCTGCACACATCGACTGATCTGGCACTGAGCACTACAAAGGGCACTGCACAGGCGATCGGCATGGCGATGGCCAATTTGGTGGTGCTGAAGCGCCACCTTTGGTTGAATCTGACAGAGATCAAGGACGCAGACAAGATCACCTTCCTTGACTCTCCGGTCTAAACATGCCAATAAGAGACTATTAACTTCTAGCATAATATCATCTAAATCATATTATTTAATATAATACTTAAAAAAATTTTAATTTTTGCAAGATTTTTATAAATATCACAATATATCATTGTCATTAGTATTTTTTGACCACGATAATTGTGTAGTGGAAAACCTGATATTGTGACAGTTATCATGACCCTAGTTCACAATGTTAACTTTGAAACGGATCCTCACATAAGTATGCCCCGGGGGCTGGTTCTTATCGGTGTATCAAAAAGAAGCTTTCTTTCACATCCAGAAATCCCCTCATCACAGACCATTCTTGAGATTTGTGTTCGAGGCGATGGCTTATCAATATACATTCCTACCATTTGGACTGTCTCTGGCCCCGCACACTTTAACAAAGTGCATTGATCTGGCTCTTTCCCCTCTGGGGCAGATGGGAATCCGCATTAGGAACTATCTCAATGATTGGCTGGTATTAGCCAGATTGGAAAAGGAACTTCTCGCTCACAGGTCGCTGTTGATCAACCACCTGGAGCATCTTGGACTGAAAATCTATTTAGCCAAGAGCTCTTTGTCTCCCAGTCAGTGAGTAGACTTCCTGAGGACAATTATGGATTCAGCCCAAATGCGGGCATGGATTATGCCAGAATGCTCACTAACAGTTCAGCGGCTGGTGTCGTTATTCAAAGTCGAGACTTCCTGTAACCTCAGAGGTTTTCATAGGATGCTTGGCCTCATGTCAGCCGAGGCGGCTCTGTCATTCCATTGGGTCTGTTTCATATGCAGCCCCTACAAATCAAGGTAATCAGCTTCAAGGTAGCCCAACGCTGCACCAGAGCTTTGGCCCCATGGAAGACATCCCACCTGTTTCAGACAGGTGTTCCATTGGGACCCTGGGACTGACCTCAAGTGGGAAGGTGGTTATGACAGATGCTTCCAACTCGGGTTGGGGCGCAATGTATAAGGCGAAAATGGAGCTTGGCTCCTGGTTCAGCCTGAAGTAATGCCTACACATCAACTGCCTAGAGATGATGGCGGTTTTTCTAGTTCTAAAAACCTTCCTGCCAGCCTTACTGGACACCACTTACTGGTCTGCTTGGACAACATGTCGGCGGTAGCTTTTATAAATCTCCAAGGTGGAGTGAGGTCACGCTTCCTATACAGGATGGCGAGACACCTCCTCCCGTGGGCACAGTGCAATCTACTCTCACTGAGGGCAGTTCATGCGCTAGGCAGACTGAACCAAGGAGCAGACATACTGTCCCGGTATGTATTTCCAAGAGAAAGGATACTACACCCCCAAATGGTTCAAACGATCTGGTCTGTATTCGGGAGAGCAGAGGTAGACCTCTTTGATTCAGAAGACCACTCTCACTGCCCAACATATTTCTCAAGGGAGCAGGATGCCCTGATCCACGAATGGCCCAGTGCTCACCTGCATGCTTTCCCTTTGGTTGACCTGCTCCCTCAGGTCATCAGACGGGTCAGGGAAGTCAGGTGCTCAGTACTCTTAACATGATTTTGGAGTCTAGAGCCCTTCTACAAGATGCCTCTACACCCTTAAATGGTCAGTCTTTTCTGAATGGTGTTCAGCACCTCCTCTTTTGTCATGTCATCTGTGTTAACCTTTCTGCAAGAGCTGCTGGATAAGGGGCATACCAACAATGCAATGGCAGAGAATATCAGAAAGGATATGCTCTGGTTACTGATGTTACCTCTGTTCTCTGAGATAAGAGACAAAGCGGTGCGTTACCAGTCATGCTATAAGGCTGCACGCAAGTCGACGACTGTCGCTATTAAGATTCTGATGAAATGGAGTTTCTCCATAGTGTAAAATGCAATGCTCATTCCCTTATCTCAAGGAACCGAGGTTACGTCAGTAACCCGAGAGTTAACTTCCTAGTAACAGAGTAGCTGCTTAGATAGGTATATATAGCTGCTTAGTATTATATAACCAATCACAGTAAGGTATGTTAACTTTGACCATGTTTTATCCCTCATTATATACACTTTTAGGTGGACGAGTCTCTGTGCTACGACTAAGAAGGCTCCTGACTGTGAATAAACTCAACACAAAGCAAAGCAGCAAGGTAAGGCACTAATGATCATGATGCTCAATGTCTGATTTCACATAGAAATAAAGAATAACAATCTGAAAAGAAAAAAGCTTTAAATAAATATTTTAACGTGCGTGAAAAAATCCAACCACCTATAGATTTAAGTTTCACTTTCTATAATCCGTGACTGACAGAGGAGTATCTTGGCGGCAAGGATTTAAAACTTTAACAAGACTCAAACTGACAGACAGAGTGAAAGACTGGATTTTTTCGATCAGGTAGTGTACAGGTGATTTTAAAACATTTCAGCCGGTTTATTTATATTGTGTATATATTATTTATCTCGAATAAGATGTACTTGGTTGAGTTACGCTACAGTAAAGCGCTTCATTGTACGGTGATTATCTCTGAGTGCGAGCAGGACCAATAACAATGCAGAGAATATTAATGACTATGACTGGGACTTTCATATACATCACATTATAATGAGAACACTATTATAATAAAACGCTGTGAATTTTTAGAGTTTAGTTGCCGTGTTTCTGCACGTTGTTGCGTGAAAAACGCGTCCACAAAAGGAGTTCATTCAGATCTGTGCAGACACGTTCATGTGCATTCCCCAAACATATGATTCGACTATCAGTCGATTATCGGCAAGACTTTGTAAATCCTTAGTCGGGGACACCCCTACATCTTTACAAATCATTTATAATAATTTGTTCATGTTTTTGCAGTACCTAATCTAAAGTGGAAACTGTTCATCATCTGTAAATGTGTCTAAACGTTTACTAATAATTTAGTATGTTTACAGGCATTGGACTTATCAGGGGCGGATTTAGTGAATTGGGGGCCCCAGGCAAAATTTAGGAATGGGGCCCTGTACATGTTTTCCTAGATCAACCTTGAGGTTCCATTTTGTTGTTTTCAGCGTAAGCCTGTGTGCAAAGGCTGTCTAATTCTAAACTTTGAGATACATTTATTTTTAGCTGTTTTAACTACAAATTTAAATAAAACTGAAAAAATAATGAAAAGGCAATTATACATTTACACACCTAAAATACATATATCAAGAGCATGCTCACAGATGAGAACAAACCAGCGTTGGATGAAGTGGATTAGAGCCCTGCACGGGTCTCAAATATAGGCCCTAGCCCCTCTTTTTTCCCCTTTTCCCAAAAAAAGCTTATACTACTGTTTCAACTATTAAAATAGTTCAGTTTTGTATGTAATGGAAAAGTGATTATATTTCGTTTCGTTGTTTTATAAAGTAAATTTAGAAAAACATTTGGAGTATTTTTTGTTCGTTAAAAGTACGTTTTTTTGTTTTTGTTTTTTAAAGTAAAGGCCAGCGGCAGACAGTGAATTGATCATAGCCTATAGCTTATGTTTGATCAATTTAGCCTTCTCAAATCATCACGACTTGCCTAAAATAAAATCTATATAAAAAACAGTTCAAGTATATCACAATGTTAGTTTAAATGTTTAACCTATATAAATTATACAGGTATAACCATACGCAATTTTGTATGATATGTTAATTATTTATATTTTTTATCCATGCAGTAAATGCTTTAAAAACAGCTTTAAAATTACTTTATTGCATTCCAGATGCTTTTAAAGTACTTTTCACTATACATTTTACGGGCAGCTTGAATGTAAAGATTGTCATGAATTCGTTGTATTCCCATTTGTAAAATAGCCAACAAATGAATTGTTGTAGGCTAACCCGATCTCATGAAAGTGCGTAGGCCTATATTGCACGATTTTCTGCTTCTATTTGGTGTAATATTTCTATGCAGAAATTGACTTTGGCATGCAAAAGACTGATAAATTCATAATTAACGGCATGGGTTCAGTCGACAGAAATATGGTCTATAATAACTGCTGAAATGTTTGCGGGGCAGATCTCAGGTCAGTCTGAGCGTTCATGGTACTCACAGTGCGTACACCTGCAGAAGCCACTGACTCAGACGGCTGTTGTGGTAATAAACACGTAAACAGCAAACATTTGCGTGTCAGCGCTTAATGCGGATATCCTATATGAAAAGCTTTTTAGGGGGGCCTTGGCTTTTGGGGGCCCAAGGCGGTCGCTTACCTTTGCCTAATGGGTAAGTTCGCCCCTGGGAATGAAAGTGCGTAGGCCTATATTGCACGATTTTCTGCTTCTATTTGGTGTAATATTTCTATGCAGAAATTGACTTTGGCATGCAAAAGACTGATAAATTCATAATTAACGGCATGGGTTCAGTCGACAGAAATATGGTCTATAATAACTGCTGAAATGTTTGCGGGGCAGATCTCAGGTCAGTCTGAGCGTTCATGGTACTCACAGTGCGTACACCTGCAGAAGCCACTGACTCAGACGGCTGTTGTGGTAATAAACACCGTAAACAGCAAACATTTGCGTGTCAGCGCTTAATGCGGATATCCTATATGAAAAGCTTTTTAGGGGGGCCTTGGCTTTTGGGGGCCCAAGGCGGTCGCTTACCTTTGCCTAATGGGTAAGTTCGCCCCTGGGACTTATAGCTGCTGTAACAATGTTTGTGTAAAAGGTTTTTAGTTATGTTTATAGGTAAATGCTTGATAAAGGCAACACACATTGTAACTTGGGTGCAAAACATGTTTTTATTGCCTCAACACTTATGTTAGTATACTACTGCTGTATATCATTAAACAGGATATTCCTTGAATCATACAGCATAGGAGAAAATAAATCAGTTTTCAAGAAAACACTTGTTCATTTATGTAAACAATGTAATATAAACAGATCAAACTGTGTTCCCTTATAGTAAATCAAGTTGACCCCTGTACACTGTTGACCACTTAACCAACCCTTAAACCTCCCCATATCACCAAACCTGTGCCTAACCCTACCTGTATCACACCCCAGCTGCAAAAGTGTTGCTTTTAATCATTGTACATCTGTTAAAATCATCTGCAGATTTTCAAGAAGTGCATGATCTTATGCGTTGAAAGTTTAATGACATTTATAAGCATTTTAATTTACATGAAGTAATAATCTGTTAATCATTAGGTAATGTTTAATAAATTCATCAGTAAATATTAACAACCACATTATCTCATGTTTCTAGCTATTTGAATATTAGGGGTGTCCCCGTCTAAGAATTTAAAAAGTCGAATCGGAATTTTCGAATCTGGCTGATAGTCGAATTATATGTTTGGGGGCGGGGGGCAAAATACATTACCAAGAGTCAAGTAGCCAGACATTCGACAGTCATAAATACTCACATTAACACACAGGGTAAATGTGTAACGGATGCCTCGCAGATACAAAAATAATGTTTTATGTTTTGATTTAAGAGAGTTAACATTAAACGTCAGCTAAACCCAAAGAATTCACAAAAATGTTTACAATAGTGCTCTCATTATAATGTTATGTATGCCTATATGACAGTAGTTATTAATGTTCTGCATTTCTGTTTTGAGCTGCGCTCGCTGAAGATGACCAGTAGAATGAAGCATATGATAGCAAGTTTTTAATCAATGGGATTTAATTACGACTTATAGGCTATCTGCACAAAATGCCCCGAATGCACATAAACGTGTCTGCACAGATCTTTTGTGGACGCGTTCTTCACGCAACAACTTGCAGAAACACGGCTACTAAACTCACAAAATTCACAGCGTTTTATTATAATAGTGTTCTCATTTTAATGCTATATATATGAAAGTCTGAGTCATAGTCATTAATATTCTGCATTGTTGTAGGTCCTGCTCGCGCTCAGAGATAATCACCGTACAATGAAGCACTTTACTGCAGCGTAACTCAACTCAACTCTTATTCGAGATAAATACTGTAATATGTACACCATATAAATAAACCGGCTGAAATGTTTTAAAATCACTTGTACCCTACCTGATCGAAAAAATCCAGTCTGTCTGTCAGTTTGAGTCGTGTTAAAGTTTTAAATTCCTGCCGCCAAGATGCTCCTCTGTCGTCACGGATTATAGAAAGTGAAACTTAAATCTATAGGTGGTTGGATTTATTCACGCACGTTAAAATATTTATTTAAAGCGTCTTTCTTTTCAGATTGTTATTCTTTATTTCTATGTGTATTGAGCACCCCCATATATCCAAAATGGCATGATCATAACACCTCAGCGAATATTCGACTGTAAGATTGGGAGTCGAATCAGGCTCCTCCTATCGAAGCATCGAATCTTCGACTGTTCGGGGTCACCCCTATTGAATATTAACTAATGTTAAATATTACACAATGTAATTTATGTATCATTTAAAACTCTTACTGTTTTCTTACTTGCTAACAACTTTTAAATGACAGACAGACAGATAGACAGACAGGGAAGTCTTTTTTATAATGTTTACATTTTAAATGCTGCCGTGTCCATATTGTATATTTCAGCATCTATCCATTTGTACAAACTGTATGTTTTGTAAATGTTATGTACTATACATAGTACGAGACCATCAGACCGGAGAAGGAGATCCTACTCTCTCGTTCATTGGTTGCTAATATAAACATTCATTTAATTGTTTTTACTGACAACTTAAGTTACTTTTCTATTGTAATACCGTGAAATAATGTTCTTTAATTGTTGCTACAACAGAATAGTTATTTTAGTGATACATTTTCTGCAAATGTATTGACCATACAAACAAAATAGCAATTCTATTATTCTGTGTGCTCATAATAATTATTATAAATTATATATGCTCATATAATTATTATTATCTAATTATTACTAGTAATAATTAGTAATAGACCAGTATTTTGTTCATTGCAGGGGATCTTGTGGACTGGATCACAATCCATTGAGCAGAGAACAGGAGCAATCAAAAAAGAGTCATCAGAGATACTTGTGGTGCATCAACTTCAGAAAATGTCTTCTCCAAACAGTGAAATGAGCAGAAACAACAACAGATACAAAAACAAAAGTATTATTACGACTGCTGCTCCAGTGAGCTTTTTGTTACTGACATTTCAGGGGTTAATGGGTATACAATTTTCATGCCCATGCAGCAATGAATGGTTGAACCGTTCTATAGCAGTACTAATCTTCATTGTGCCTGCCCTCTTTGGTGGGATAATGTTGTCACTATTTTTAAGATTTGAAGAACAAACAATTAGTGGAGGTGGAGGGTTCCAAACAGACAGCAGCGAAAGCTCTAAGTCTGAAAAATGTATTTATTTTATGATTCGCTGCATTCCACCTCTATTGTGGTTCTGTATATTTTTCATTGATGGTGATTATTTTGGATGTTTCATGACAAACTGGAATGGACAGTACACCTGTGATAAAAATATCCATCCTAATTGTGTGAGTTGGTGCAAACCTGAATCAAACAAAGGAAAAAATGAGACTGAAACATATAACTACACACAACAGATGAATAATATATCAAAGGTAAATACCAAGGTTTTTTTTAATCCCGCTCCATACAAGTTCTGAGTTTTGTCAAAGAATAAATAAAACAGAGATCACAACACACCTAATATTTCAACTGAAAAAAAATATACATATAGAAATCTGTAACACAGTACCTAGAAATCATTAATTATAAATAAATAAAACAATATTTCATAATCTATTATATGTTTTAAATATCATTAAATATAGCATAATCAAACAGAAAGACCTAATGATAAGAATGCTTTGATTAAGTTTTCATTAAGTGAAGGTAGAGAATCAAATCTCTGATCAGTGGACAAACTTTCAAACTAAAATATTTTGGAATTTACAGATTTATTTATTTATTTATTATTTTAAGGGGCATGTTTCTCCATCAGAATTTTCAGGGAAATATTCATTTCTGTCCTAAACAATTAAATGTCACTATTTTTTATTTATTTTGACAAAAACAATTGTGTTCATAAACCATTAACATGCATACCACATGCATATATAACTTATACAGTTGTTTAATTTTGTTTTTGATTAATTAATTTTCTTTCTTTATTTTAAGGTAATAGGTTACTGCCTGGCCTTGCTCTTCTGCTTCATCCTCTTGATCATAATGTGTATGACTAAAGACAAGAACAGAACTTCAGTGCCAAGGGTCACCGAGACTAACCCAGAAGCTGAGAATGCCATGATGAACAGTGCAAGTGAATAAAATGATCACTTCAGGTTCACATGTTCCATTAATGTTCTCCTCTGCATTCTTTGCAAACAGCATAAAGAAAGTGGTAATGCATTTATTCAAGCACATAATGTTTCCAGTTATATTCATTTTCTTATTTGTGCTTTTTGCCTAAAGAATTTTTAAATGTAACTTTTAATTTCTCTTTCATTTGTTTGTTTAGCATGATACATATAGCGAAATGACTGCTTTTTAAAAACATACATTTGTGTTTAAAAATGCCCGAAATACATTATGTATATATAGATTTTCCCTCTTCAATGTTTTTATTCATTAAAAGTGTCAAAAGCCCAGAATTTTTTTTTTGTCTTATACTATTATGCCATTGTATGACATTTTTATTGCATGATTAATTGACCCTTTGCAGAGACCTGCCCCCTTCGTTACTGTTGCCATGTCTGACAAGCCATCCACTCTCACACCACACATTATGTTTTCACGCAGTGGAAAATACATTGCGGAGCAAACTGTAATGCCCCAACAGACAAGACAGAGCAGGTTACTTCTGGTATGAAACAAAGACTGCACTTTCAAATTTTGTAATTTTTAAAGAAATTCAAACAATAAATACATTTTGTGGCTCTTTAATATGTCTGGTTTGTTTGTCTGACAAAAATGATTCAAAGATTCAGCTTTATGATTGGTCAGATTGCCTGTCAATCAAACTCCCTGCAAAGGGTCAATTGCAGTACAAAGATCAAACCAAATGGGAAACCATTGTCCGCAGTTATGAGAGTTATGGAGGGTTTGCCCAGGACACAATACAAGCAAGATCAGTCACTGCTCATTGGCCCACAAACAATCCGTTCCAAAAATAAGTAAAAAAACCTGTTCTAATTGAAAGAAAACAAAATGACATTCTCAGGCCTTATTCCCCCCCCACAGAAGGCACCACTTTGCCGCCGGCACTGCTTTTTAGTCAGCTAACCAATCACAGTATAGAGGAGGGGTGGGACTACTACAACACAGACCAAACATCACACCCTCCGGAGGTCTGTGCATGCATTGGGATGCAGGAATGTGTTGTGTCTTGTCATGCTCTTGAAACGAGTAAATATAAAATAAGTCTTTTTTTATGTGGGTGACCCCTCCAATACATTTCCTTTTAATGCATTTACTTAGACTAGATGCATTCCACAGATTATTTTATAGGAGGAGCCAAATGCACCATAAAATGTCTTTACTGTCTTCAGTGTTGCTATTCGTTCTTTGGTCGTTTTGTTAATTGAATTCTAGGACATTATAGACTAAATCAAAAACACTGAAAATATTATTAGAGCATTCTCTGAATAGGGTTCAGATGAAACCCACTGGATTACTGAAAAAATCTAAATCTGGCAAACAATTTTGGAAATAAGTGTTCTGTTCAGAAAGTTCTGTTCAGAAAAGTTCTGAAGTGTTCAGTGAAGAATTCTGTTATTTTCTGAGAGTATGTTGGTTTGGCAAGACAGGTCATTATAGCAACAGTTCTTAATTTGGACAGTAAACAGGTGCTGCTTAATATGACAGCAATAAAGCCATAATGACTGATCAAAAAGCTTTTGAAGAAAAAAAAAGCAGAAACAGTGTAATGAATGAAACCAGATCAGACAGACATACATTGTAAACCTGGTATAACACACTTACTTTACTTGAAAAGTTAACTAATATTTACCTAGCTACTGTTGTGCATGTATACTGATAACTGAACTGAATAAATGTAACCCTAAAAAACGTTGGGTTATTTACTGTACCCAATATCTGGGTTAAACATGTTGGGTCGCTTTGTTGGGTTATTCCTACTTTTATTGGGTTATTTCTATAACAACGCAACCAGTTGGGTTAAAATTTTAAATTCTATGGTCTATCGTTGCAACTGTGACAGAAGATACAGCGGTACATTAATATTTGTGCATAATGTTGCTTTTCATTACAAAGTGTAGCAAAAGCCCCGACACAGTAATATTGCTGTTTTTCTACGAGTAGGCTATGTGTGCATCTCCCCTGTTGACTGATATTTTAATCTGTTTTATCTGCACTCTTGACGAACGACGCAAGCGCTTTGTAGCCGATCAATTTCAAACGTATATAAAAAATTATCCTTATTAGCCTCTTCATCCTGTGATCCACTCTGAGTGAAGGTATGTCACAATGCCACAATTCCTCCATACACGTCTTAACTATACCACGTGGGTACACAACGATATGGATAAATGTTAATAATAAAAATGAAAAAAAGATCAGCTAAACACTTGCATTTTTTTTCAAAAGCACACACTTTGTGCTCAAAAAGAGGCTAAAACTCAAAATAATAAACTTAAAGACCCATTTCCAAAAGCACAAACATAAAATTACATTTTCAGTGTTCAAAAAGTTTGTACTTTTGTGTGTGTATACATACAGTTGTTCTCAAATTATGATCAAAGACCGGATTGTTTATCCATTTGATCTTTAATTAAAAAAAAAAAAATCTAACTTTAATTGAAGTAAAAAAAAATTCTCTACTACACAATGGCCATAATTATTGGTACCCCTAGGTTTATTAATTGTTATGATTAAAATATATGTGAAGTATTCATATTTGCATTTTTTTATCACACCAGGGTGAGTGTGAACATGAAATTATCTCGCCATTGCTTCCTGTTTCACAGAATTAAAATATGAGGGAAACAAAAGACAAATTCCCTTAATCACTGATCACAATGAGTATAACCAAAGAATATAGTTCTGATGTGCAGCAAAAGATGAACTTCACAAATTAGAAAGTGGCTGTAAGAAAAGGGCTAAAGCATTGAAAATTCCCATTTCCACCATCAGGGCAATAATTAAGAATTTACAAACAACAGAAAATGTTACAAATCTTCCTGGAAGAGGACATGTGTTTATATTGTCCTAATGCATGGTGAGGAATGAATGAATGAATGATGCATTTATATAGCGCTTTATTGTGTATTGTTGTATGCCCAAAGCGCTTTACAATCATGTGGGGGGGTCTCTCCTCCTCCACCACCAGAGTGCAGCATCCACCTGGACAGCAGCCACAGAA